TTTACCTCTTGACTAGGTGCCACTGCAGTTTTCATATAATATGGAATATTACTTTTATTTTCTTCATACCAGTGCATGTATCTTTTTTTCTTTTTGACTGACTGAAGTGCGGATGTTTTGACACCTCAACAATCGAGTCCATAAGGAGTGGTGTCATGACTGTAATTCTGAGACTTTATTTAACCTTTATTGCCGTCTGATGCATGTGCAGCTGCTGGCACGATCGGAAGAGTTGCTGAGTAGAGTTGGCTGGTTGCTGAAATGCGTTTCATTCTGTTTGCTTTACCTTTTCATTGATATATTTTTACTATGTTCTAGATTACAATTTGTCTATTATATTCTATTCCCAGAAACATTCATCGCAATTTAATCCTCATTGTTTTTTCAATGATGTGTTTCTGTAACTTTATATTGGTTCTCTTTATATGAAGATAAGATCTCACATCTGATACTGAATGCGGTATTTTATATGCTGGAATTGAGGTTTTTAGAACATGTTCTCATTTTCTCAGTGCTCTTCGATAGTAACATTGATTAGAGAAATGTTGTTAACATTGACATTTAACAGGTCTTTACCTGTCTTTATTGTAACTACCTGTTATAAAATCGTCTGGACTGTAGCACTACCAATGTCTATCAGGTCATTTAGTTTCTATTCTGATGAGACATTTTTAAACCAGTGACACTTTTTTTTAATTGTTGAATATATTATATAAAGGTAAAGTTTCTCTGGATAACTTATGATATATCTCCAGTGAAATGGTGTCATGCCAATCGCAATGTACCTTTGTTGAGTCGCGCGCTAGGTGCATGCCAGTTTCATCTTATTGTCCCTTCTCATGGGTGTGATGTCTACATCTCACCTTCGGCTATTTACTTCGCCATTTTTTAACATAAGTATAGGTGAATTGCAACTGTTTTTTTAATAGGTTTTTCACTTTTAAAGTTCGTACGGTACTGGCTTACGGATTTGTATATCTCATTGTTTCAGCTGGCTCATTATTATATCAGTGATTTGACTCTTTATTCAGCATCATTTATGTCATTATGTTCTGTAAAGTCGTTTTTACTTGCAAGCAGTCAGAACATTCAGCTTTTGAGAAAGAAATAGGTATTTTGTTACTTAACCTTCTATGCAGATTCCTGATTACTGAGCTATATCGCTTTCTTTATTCTGGAGTTTGAAGTATGTAGCGACTTTTGTAGAGTGGATGACACACAACTGTGTTTGTTTTGCCTCTTCACTTGCAGGATTTATTATTGATCTAATTTCCTGGTATGTCCATTTTATAATACCTGATTTGCCTATGCAGGGCTTTGATTCCGATCATTAAAATTCTTCAGTTTTGCTCAGCTACTGGCAAGTCATATGGATGCCTCTAAAGTTGCTATATAAAAGATTAGTTTTTCACTCCTTTAGCCTCTGTGTAGTCCAGGACCTGACAACTTTATGATTCTCTCCAGGATCTTTGCTGGCTTTGCTAAGGTTTTACATTTAAAGATTTCGTGCGGTCTATTTCTGTCAAAGTTTTCAGAGAGTATGATTCTATCTATGAGTCCTATCTTTAAACATTATGTGTGTGTGTCCAGGTGTGTCGTGTGTTGTGTGTGCTGTGTGTGTGTGCTGCTGGTAGGTGCTGTGGTGTCCACACACACACACACATTAATTTAAAGATAGACTCATAGATAGAATCATACTCTGAAAACTTTGACAAAATAGACCCACGTAATATGTCTTTATTAATGTAAACCTTAGCAAAGCCAGCAAAGATCCCTGGAGAACATAAAGTTTCAGGTCCTGGACTACACAGAGCTAAAGAGTGAAAATATTTTTTTGCTTTAGAGCCTTCCTATGACCTTGCCAGTAGCTGAGCAACTGAAGAATTTTAAATGATTCGGATAAGCCCTGCAAGCAAATCAGTATTTAAATGGACATACCAGGAATAATAACTGAATCCTTGCAAGTGAAGGCAGCACAGTTGTGTGTCTCCACTCTACACAAGCTGCTACATACTTCAAACTCTTTCTCATAGATCAGATCTCATAGAAGATAATAAAATACCTTTTTTTCTCAAATAGCTTTATGGTTTGACTGTTGCAGTAACGACTCTACAGACATAATGCTTAATGATGTGAATAAAGAAGTCAATCACTGATTAATTGATGCTTCAGCTTGAACAATGAGTTAAAAGCCGAAGCCAGTCCTTACATCTTTAGTGAACCTTTTAAAAAACAGTTGCATCACCACCTTATGTTAATATTCCAGTGTGTGGCTCACACCATTTAAGGTATGACTGGCATGCAGCCTTCCTCAACAAAGGACATTCATGCATTTGACACCATTTTCACTTTCTAAGTTCCAGAGATTTCTTTTTTTATATCAGACATAAAAAAAGTGCCTGTTTAAAAATGTCTCTCAGTTAACTATGACCTTGATGCTTGTGGTACAGTCCAACATTTTATTCAGGTAGTTCAAAGAGACCTTAAAGTTGTTAATGTCTTTAACAACATTTCTATCATGTTCTATCAGAGCTGTGAGAAGTTAAAACCTTACATCCAGCATTTATACCCATTCTATTCAGTGTGTCTGTATTTCATAAAGGCCTATAGTTACAGAACAACATCATGAAAACATGAATTTATTGCATGAATGTTTCTGATGATTAATAACAATTGTAATATAGACTGTATATTTCATGAAAGGAAGCAAACAGAAAAAGCATTTCAGCAGCAACTCTCTCAGCTCTTCCGACGTGCCAGCAGCTGCACATGCATCAGACGCAATAAAGGTTTACTTAAAGTTTCAGAATTACATTCTGACCCACTTTGGACTCATTTTGTTCAAACTCCCTCAGTGATCATTGCTGGTATGAAGAAAATAAATGTATTTCCTTTATGAAACTGCAGTGGCCTGTCAGAGGTAAACAATGCCCCTAGTTTTGATCAGCCAGAGTCATTTTGCCCTCGCTGAAATTGAAAGGGCACTGAACTGCATGTTGGTAGGTCTATTAGAAAGAAAGACTCAATCACAGTGATGGAGGGGAAATATTTTCCGGCCTTTAGCTGCAGAGTGGTGCATATTTTTCTCTACATGTTCTACATCTTCTTTTCAAGTATAAGAATACACAATACATATTCTTTCTCTTTGACTTCTTTCTTCTTTGGACCTCATCTTTAATAAAAGTCTCTCCACTGCTCTGTCTCAATATGTTCATATCTTTCTGTGTGTGCGTGTGTGTGTGTGTGTGCCAATAAAATGCTTAGACACGCTTCTTCATTTTAAAGAGCCTTTAAGCCTCTCTTCACTGGAAACCACTAGTTCAAACCACTAAAACAGTGTGCATGTGTTTGTGAAGGTGTGTGTACGTGTTCCTTTTTTTGTTTCTCACACAGGTGAGCGAGGGGGAGGCGACACAATTAAAGCTGTCACCTTTGTCTTGACCCTTTTTTTCGTATAGCTTGGTGTGTGTGTGTGCATGTTTGCGTGTGAATGCGTTTGCAGTCTGCGTCCTCAGTTGCGTCAATGCTGCCAGTTTCTGCGCCAGCAGCAGGCTCCTCCCCTCTGACCAGGCCACTCCCACTTCCTGTGTGTCAGTATAAAGCATGGTCTCCTCTCTCTCTCACACACTCACAGCCTGAACACTGGAGGAGAAAAGCTCAACATCTTCAGTCATCCTCTCCTGGTTCTCGCCAACTACTGCAGGTAAGAATTAAAAACTGATTTAGAAATTTGTGTCCTTTTGTTTTTCTCCAGTTTTTCTGTTGCAGCAGGACAAATTATGCATTTATCAAAAAACCTTTTTTTTCATCTTTTTCTTTCACTTTATCACAACACACACAAGAAATTTTCATTTAAATTGGAAAAAAGTTGACAGGAAGGTGTGTAATTCTAGAAAATTAGTTTTATTTAAACTCCAGTTTAATATTTTTAAATTTAACAATTTATTTATTATTTCATGCTAAGGAGAGTACACTTAAATGTTTAACAATGAATTAGTGAATAATGAAAGGTGGGTGATTTACAACTGTTGCAGGATAATCAGGCTGTTTAAGGGCATGTATATTTACAGTCTGCAAATAATCAGATAATGATATATTATATATATATATGCATGTAAAGTTGTTATTATTGCAGCAAATATTATAGGCAGGATTGCGCTCATGAATAAAAGTAGGAAAAATGCAAATGAATGTTGAAAAACTGCTAAATATTCATCTGAGCAAGAAGGTGTTTTAAATAAATAAATAAAAAATCCCCTTTATTTTTTAAATTTTTTATTTCATTTTGTTCTGAAGAGAGGAGAGGCTTTCACACACATTACAGCACCACATCATTACCAGCCCACTGAATAATGAAATGGAGACAATGACCAGCTGCTAAGAGGAATTATATTAGCATCAAAAGAATGACTGTTTACACCACGGCTGTGGCAATTTACAGAAAACTATTCAGATGGACAATTGTATTGAGTTACAGTGATAAAGATACACAGATACAATTTTTAGATTTAGATTTTTAGATTAGATCATTTGGTTTAAACCGACAAAGTACTGTATATCCATGTTGAGTAAGTGAGGTGAAATTGTATGCAATCATACATTATCAATCATCTGGACTAACCAGGCTTCTGAGGGATGGACACACATTGCTTGGACTCCACAGTTTGTTATGAGTTTTAATTCTGTGTCTGTGTGGAGAGGAGGTCATTATGTTGAAATAGCCCTTGTCAAACTAGATGCTATTGGACTTCTACTGTCCTCCTGTGTGTGTGTGTGTGTGTTTTCGTGTGTGTGTGCAGTAAAAGGATCATTCTTAGAAACAGACATAGACCATAGACAGTCAGAGTGGGTTTTGAATGATTGGAGACTGAAAGCCTCAGAGCGACTGTGTTGGTTTTATCTAATTGGATGATTTGCTCTGGAAGAATCTTCTGGCACAAAGCATTCATCACAGCTAATATGCTGCGTTGCCAGCCTCTAAGATACATACAGTGTTAATCAGCCAAGACAAATGTATACTAGCTTTTTGCAGTTTTTCCATTTGCACATTATATATTTCTACCACACTGACGTACAACTACACTTTCATAGAAAAACATACTGTCAAATTTACAACTGATGTTGACTATTTAAGCAGTTGAGCTGTTTTGAGCTCTCTCTGTGATAAAAATTATAAAGAAAGGAAAAATTCATGTACTTTATTCTGTCAGTGCTGTCATGTTAATATTGACTCTCAGGTGGACCCTGCTCAAAAATAGAGCAAAATTAAGATTTAGAGATAATTGTTGTGTTTCACTTGGGATTCTGCACATTTATTACTACACCAGAACTCCCTGTGAGTGTTAAATACTAAATTGTTCTGCCACTCTGTGACAGAGCGAGGGAGTGTGTGAGAAAGACAAAATGATATTCGCCTTAGGGTTAACCCCCCCTGCCCCCCGACGACTGTGAAATGATTTGTTGCTGCTTTCTGCAAAACATTCATTGCTTGTGACTTTTTTCACCCTCAAGCACAGAATTAACAAGCTGAAGGGAGACAATAAAAGAGAACAGTAGAGAGACACTTAAGAGCCAATGACCTGATAGGAAAATTACCACATAGTGGATTGCCTTTAACTCTATTATATTTTGCCTCCCAGTCATGAATGTAGGTATCTGCGTGTGTGTTCTCCTGGCTGCTTTGTCCAGTGGTTCCTTGAGTCTGCCCTCACACGCCATGGTAAGACACACACACACACACACACACACACACACAGACAAACATAGTCATACACACACTCTGAGATAATCATCATCCCTCACACCTAAAGAATTTTAAGAAAAGTGGTATATTTTTCAATCCCACCTTATACACTGACTGCTAAACATCTGGGTGTGTTTTCCAAACTCAGAAAACCACTTAGTGGACTGAATTGTTGCTTTAAAATCCATATGAAGTTACAGTCAACAGTTGAAATTTCAGGTTTTGACTTTAGATCTATAGTCTAGTCCTTATCTTTTCTTTTTATTGCCCTCCAGTCACAGAGAGCTGAGGGTGAGGCTCTCTCGTCAGACAGCCTGCCTCAATACCACACACGCCAGGCCCGCTCAGCTCCAGCACCCCCCTCAGGGCAGCTACCCAACTACAACCAACCCCAGGAGGACGCAGACGCCCAAAACAGCCTGAGCCAGCTCCTGGCCAGACTCATCTCCAGAAAAGGTGGGGATGGAGAGGAGAAACAGATAGAAAGTGTAACTGGAGCAGAAGTCTTTCCCCTTTCTCAGCTCATTACACACGTAGCATTCCTCACTTCTTATTTTGCTCCTAGTCGTGTTTTTCTTCTTCTCTCTTTTCAACATCCATCGTTCTGTAATGTGCCGTCACTCATGCTGCGTCTCAGTCCAACCATCTGGCATTTCCCTGCCTCCCTCTAGCTTTCTCTCTCCTCCCATCTTTCCATACCTCCTCCATGTTTCCTCTCTATACCAGCCTGCTCCCTCTATTTGTTCCTCCTTCACTCATCCTCTTACCAGCTGACCTCACTCTCTGCTCTCTCTCTGTCACTGTGTATCTCTCTTTCTCTTTCTCTCTAAGAGTCTACACTGTGTGACTGGGAGACCTGCTGAGCTCACTGCTCTTATAGAATTCACAAAGACAGGAATAGAAACGAAACAAGTCAGCATGACTTACTTCAGCAGCCTCATTCAGAGTTATACATTTACAGTATACAGTCAGTAGAAAAATGAGAACTGTTTAATGTTTTTGGCTTAGCAGAGCGACATCTTACTGTCCTCATCAGTGTCATGACGAGTGTCGACCTCTTCCTGTCTTCTCCAGGCTCTCCCTACCAGACCAGATCATCCCTCACCAGCAGAGCCAGTGGTCTAGCCCCCGGCCACAGGATAAAGGACAGAGATTACCTTGGCTGGATGGACTTTGGACGACGCAGTGCAGAGGAGTATGAGTACTCCTCCTAAAGGCATGGCTTGCTTGAGTTACAACCCACAACACCGTCAATAAAAGCCCCCCAAAATAATAAGCCCTTTTCACACTGCACTTACTGTAACCAAGGGGCTGACTTGACTGGAGCCTAGAATGAGCTAAGCATCATTATATAAGCAGAAAAAGTCCAAAAGGAATATCCTGCAATCAGTGGACCTTTGATCTCCTTGAATCTCCATGCTGAAGTAAAGAACACTTTTCTAATCACTCCCCACAGTATGTCAGAATTATATTTAAGCACAAAATTGAAAGGATGAGGCTGAAAATATTCTATATGGTTGTTATTGTAAGGGAATCCTAAAACCAACAGTGAGTTAGTCCATTTCTCTGTCTGTGGCTCCCATTGGCTCTTATTGAAGCTATAAATCATTAAAAACAAAACGCAAATGCATAGTTTTATCCAAATACAGGGATGTGTATTCGTAACAAACTATTTTAAGCAGTAGATTGATACAGATTTGGTGCTCTAGTAAATATTTCTGGCTGCAGGAAGGTGTATGTGGGATTGAGACAAAATAAACTACAGTGTGTGTCATAGTAATGAAGGGCACGTCAACCAGTGCAACTGTGGCCCATTTATAGATTTTAAATTTAATTCATTGTTGGTATTAGTGTTTTCATTTATTTGCTGACAATAAGAAAAATATAGAACCCAACAGGAGTCAAACACAAGGTAATTTTCTAAAGTTAACAGCTCAGCAGACTCTTAAGCAACATTGACCAATATCAGTTTTTTAATGGATATAATTAATAAATAGAGGAAGTAACTGACAATCAAGCAAGAAGTTCCTCTGAATCTAAATTTCAGCCTCATATCAGTGAGAAACCAGTGTCTTAGGACTCAAATATATGTCACTCGCATTTTAATGACAATTCAGAATGTATTGAAGGTCTTACAGTGGACCTTAATGAGCCACCTAGGGGTCTTTAGCAAATTGGACCAAAAGTTGGATTTAAGTCTGTATCTTTGATTGGTACCTTAACGTTCTCAGCTAAGTGCACAGTAAAAAGTATTTTCATATAATAGCAACTGCAACTGCGGAAAACAACAGTATGATACAACATTAAAAATCTAGCTGAGGTTAAAATCATAGTATCAGTATGGAGTGAGTAAGATTGTCTCTGGATGGGGGGGTTGAAACACCCCTACCCTGCCTGCTGACGGTAACCCTGGGCTAAACATGTGCAGTGTGAAAAGCATGAGATATGTTTTAGGAAGCACAAGGTGTTGTCTGCTGTATATGCTTGGGAGTCTCCCTATCATTGCATAATGGACCTTGGTAGCAGATAAATCAGGATTACAAGTACTGTAGATATGAATAGAAGAGTGTTTTTGTTCTTTTTTGAAAGATTACTATATATGTATGTATGCATTCTTGAAGGTTAAGTCTGTGTAACACATAATATGTTTCTACAAACTTTCAGATTCAATAAAAATCAAAATAAAGCTCCATTTTCCTCTGATGTCAGCAAGAAATGCTAATGCATTTGTTTGGGATTATGATGTTATTATGTTTCGAGGGCACAGTTGGTGGGCTGATCCCAAGCTTTTTATGTAGCTGCTGCTTGTGTTCAGGAGTGTTAGCAGAGAAATACTGGACTGTCTGTGTGTCCTTCCACATGAGCATTTTCCTGTATCCTGAGCAGGGTGTAAATTTAACTAATCCTGTTTTAAAAGCAGCTCTGAAACACAACTTAAATTTCAATTTGATCTGATTCATGGCCAGTAATGTTAGTGCGTTAGTAGTGCTGTAAAGAACAACATATCTGTCCTCCTGGAAAATAAAACCAAGCTTTGATACACTGCAGGCAGTGAAGGGATACTTGCACGCATGATTTTATGCCTACAGGTGAATTAAATCAAATGCTAATGAAGAGCAAAGACCAAAATGGTGGACATCAAGTGGAAGTGAAGGAATCTCTGCCACACAGCTGAACATAAACCTGAATGCACACAGTTGTAGAAAAAAAAATAATCAAATCAAGCTTTTCATTTGGACATAAAAACAACTTGTTTTCTCCAGAAAACAGATGATCATGTATCTGATGTAAATTTGTAAAATGGATATGAAGCAATATAAATGTATGTGTATGATTTTTGATGAAAACAACACGAGAAGAGAAAGTTATTTCTGTTGGGTTGTTTTTGTTTGTGATTTATCAATAAATCTGTCTGGGAATGAACAAAGGTCAACTGCCTTCACAAACAAGTCCTGCTGCATACTGTCCACACCAAACACACACACACTCCAGGTTTCTTTTCACCTTTCAGATTTAACAGCTATATGGCCACGTATCAAGCTTGTTAGTCCCTTCATCCACTTGTGAGTGTTTTATAAGACTGGTTTACAGAGTGGAGATTATTTACAGAGACCCAATAATTCCCACCATGAGCTAGCACTTGGCGAAAGTGGCAAGAAATAACTTTCATACAGAAACAACAGAGCACAGAACCACAAATGAGTCACAAGATGGTGTACTAATTTCTAAAAAAAAAATACTTATACTATAATACTATATTTGTACATTAAGGACCTGTATTTTAAAACCTTTAACCTTTTCTAGATGAGAATTATCCACATTGTATAATTCCCCTTCTTGCTATCCCATATAAAAACTATTATTTTGTTTTGTCCTGATTTTCCAAAGAATTTTCAGATTCAGACAGCACAAGATCAGGATTACAAAGATTTGCAGTCTTTGAATAGGCCACCATCTGTTGGCCAAAGTAATACAACATCACATATCACACACATTAATGTTGGGAAGTGTAAATCAGTTCGCAGGTATTGTGAAGCAGGATGCAGATCAGTGGCAAAATTTAAGTAGTTCACACTGACTCACAGTCATGTAGACATCCAAGTCTCAATAAACTTACGCACCAATGCCTCCTTTTGCACGTTGACCAAAGTGACAAAGACAAATTAAACACATTTCTTGAGTATTTTTGTTTTATTTTAGTCAGTTTGTAAGTACACAATATCATTCCAGCTAGTTTTTATTTTTATTTCAGTTTTTTTCAGACCTATTAACTATAACAATAATAACCTTGGTCTGTACACCCATGTTGGATAATTCAAATCTAGATTAAAAGTTTTGAATACTGGGCCCTGGAGATAGGATACAACACAGAAACCAAGGTCACCTCTCACAGACATGAACAAACACACACAAAACAAAAAACAACAAAGTCTTGTTGACTGTAAGTGAAACTGTTATACAAGAGCTCCAGTGCTTCATACTTGAAACCAATGGCTCTAATATGACATCATATGAACAGGAAAACACACAATGATCACAAAAGACATTCTCAACACATGACGGTTGATACACGGGGAGATGATGAAAGAGCAGACAGACAACTCAAGGATAAAATAAAGAGCGGTGAGGGAAATATTCTGCAATTAGGCTGGTAGCTCATTATTATACCTCTGTGTTTAAACTAAGTTACGTCTATTCTGTTGTTGCATTCGAAAAAATTGCACCGGAGGTACACGCAGGAACACTGTGACATGAAATGAAATTACATACTTGTTGTTATGGCCTCTGACAATATTAATGAATGAATCTTCTAAAAAAAGGTTTTATTATATATATATATATATATATATATATATTTATTTATTTATTTTAAATGATTTACAATACTTCTGCATCTTTTACTGCGGCCCCTAGGACAATTAGTAAAGTACACTCACTTCAGACATTCAATTTTCTGGCAAACAAAAGAAAATAAACCCCCAAAATATTTTGATGGATCTGGTTTTTATTCTTTCATTTTTAAATACATGATGCCCATCATCCACTCTCTTCTTCTTCGGGTTCCAGGTAACACATAACAAGTGAATGCCCTACACAATTCACAACTGAGCCGTACGTCCATGCTGTGCATACATACAGGGGCCACATTAACAACATTCGACATGTTTTCAAAAAACAAACAAAAACAACAAAACAGCGTAGTATGACATGAAAATTCATTATCAGTTGGTATTAAAGGGTCATGACAGCTTTTAAAACGGAGAAACAATGCCCTGATTTACATTTTATTTACCATTCACCTTAAAACCAACGCATTTAGCTGTTAGGGAAAGCTGCTAGCAAGCATTAAGTTCCCTGCTTTGTAGAACAATCCAATACAACCCAATAAGGATCCAGGCAGCAGCCTTCCTTGTGTATAACCGAAATAAAAAAAAAAAAAAAAAAAAAACAATAGATGAAAAAAAAGCAGCATTTTATCAGTTATAAGGTCAAAAGCATAAAAAGGTTCCCTACATGTGACTTATATATAAATGTACCAAACAGGTTCAGCTCCTAGTTTGCCTTTCAGTTCTTAATTCAGGGACTAGATTATAGAGCTTAAAAGTGCAAGTACTGAAGGTAGACACACAATCAATCATTTATACTCAAACAATGTATTGCTATCACCTGACTCTCTACTGAATGTTGTTTGTCACCAAATTAATTAGAATTAGGACATAATGGATTATTTTGCATCCCTCCTTATCGGTACTTGAGTAAATCAATATAGAAAACATAAAAGTTACAGTTACACGTAGAGACATCCTTACATAAGAGGCCCGCAAACCCACGATTGTACACTAAAACTTCACCATTTAATGGAAAAATGAAATGAAATTAATATTACTGTAAGTGCATTTGAAGTGAGAAAGAGAAAATCATGCTATCTTAATATGTGTAATAATGATTATTTGGCACTAACTGTGTTCAGCATGGCCGCACTGCTCTGTTATGCCTAACAACACTGGAATGTAATGGTTTGATTGGCGGAAACTGGCTGGTTCAGAATTCTTATTGGGTGAAGAGTTAGGTCTGTTTAGGCTGAAGAACACAAAATAGAGTTCACCTCTCTGAGAGATGCAATGAAAAGGGTCACCACATTCAAATGATTCTGAACTGTTAATTGGCTGGTGTGTTTACGATGGCCGCCATCCCTGGTAAAGTACTTGCGGTAAATGATGTTCGAACAGATCATGACTGAACACTCCTTCGGCCGGTCGTGTGAAATTGAATCATAAACTATGTGCAGATAGACAGCCAGTGGTCAAAGCAGCCATCTGAGGTGGACCAAAGAAATTACTGTTATATCAGGAAGTGTCCCGTGTGGCCATTTAGCTGTAGCGGTGGCAGTGATTCACAAACAGCATCAATTATGGCTTAGAAATGGAGGTAAGCTTGGCACCAGTATGTCCATTACAGTAGATGGATAAATGTTTTACTCTGTTCTGAAGAAGCTAGTTCATGTTAGCTACTGTACAGCTCCAAAAGCAGGACTACTGGTAAGCAGAGTCCTGCTGCCAGAGATTGGATATAAAAGTAGTTATTGACTGGTTATTGCTAGATGATATGGACCACTGCACACAGCAATAAGACCACCTCATCCTGTCATCCTGTTTTCTTTTAATTACATCCTTCACACACAGCCACAAACCCTCAAACGAACTGAAGTCCTGCTGTAGCTTTTGTGCATTCAGCGATTTTAGCAGTTACTTCTACTGTAGACTTCACATTCACTTTTCAAAGACTTACTTGTGGTGCCGCACATTTAACTGACTTAAAATGTTTCATTGGATCTTCATTGAGCTCAGAGCTGATTTGTGAAATAAAGGATATCATGTTAATCAGAGGAAGGGTCTTTAGGACGAGCCCACTGTATTGGAATGATCTCTAAAAGAGAGTCAAATAGTGAAATAAAAACATCCACACCACTATCACAAAATGCTGGTATGACTACACACACACTCTCGTGCACACACACACAAAGTACCAGCCAGAGTTATGTGAAATCGCAGTCATGTAATTAACATGTACATAATTGTTATCACTTGCACATAATATTTGAAGAAACTATGTCATTCAAAAAAAAAAAAAGAATAATAATAATTATTCACGGTTAAATATGTTTTTAACCGTTGCATTAGAAACTTCTTGATGCATGGTATATTTCTCTTATATACTGTATATATCTCTGGTATTGTCACGCTGACAGAACAACACAGTCTTTGGTCACTAAAATATAGTTAAGAATTAACACCTCCTTTCAAGTACCATAGTTAAGTGTCGGAAGAAGTTAAACAAAGCTGCTAACGGATAAATGCATGTGCGTTTGTGTGCATGGATATGTATTATCAGTGTTCATTTTGTAAACCTGACCGTTTGGCTTTTGGCTCCACATGTATTCCTGTTTTGGTCAATGTTTTTTTTAAATAGTTTCAATGTTGTCATAATGACTGCACATTTAAATGGTAGGCTCTAAATGTTTCTGTAAACTGCAGACCAAATCATAAATATTCTTATTGATATTTTTCATGTTTGTATGTAGTGGACCTACCACTTGTGATTAAAGGAAACACTGAGATTTGTATGTAGTTCTTGTCATTTGTGTGTCAGTGGAAACGTCCCATGGCCTCAGCAGCCTTTACTCTCACTACAGGATCTGGATCTTGGAGCAGCATCACTAAACCTGAGGGAGAACACACACACACACAGTCAATACTAGAAGACAAACACAATAAGTTTACATTTTTGAAGACAATCGAGGTTGTGCAGTGCTTCACCTTTAGTGATAGTTCCCATGTTGAGGTGGGAGAGATGCTCCTCTGGAAGATTCCCCAGCAGACACACACACCACCACACACCACCACCACAACACACACAACCCACACACACCACCACACACACCACACACAAACACACACACACACACAACACCTCGTATGGAGGCCACCACACACACACCACCGTATTATACACACACACACACACACCGTATGATCAGGTCACATAACATAGGAACACACTGTTTCTAACCAGTTTACAGTTCACTGGTTTCAGTTTAATGTGTGTTGTGGATGTTGCTTTTGCTTTGTTAATAATAATTATAATATATACAATAATTAATAATTAAAGTTCATGACATTGATCAGAGTGGTGTAGTCATACCTATAAACATGGCAGCTCCTGCTCGGACCTCAGGCCAGTTGCTCTTGAAGAACTGGATGACTGAGATGTGATAAAAGTTCAGCATGCCTGGAAAGTCCTGAATCTGTGAAGCACAAAACATGCACAGAACATCAAACAAGACAAACTTTCTCTTATGTAGTTTATGATATAATTTATTCTAACTTTGCAAAGAATGTGTGTGGTTGGTTCTGCCCTTTGTGTTAAAGGAATTCAGCCCTGCTTCTGTTTGCCTGTGTGTGTCTCACCAGGTACTTGGTGAGGTCATTGATGAACTCTCCGTAGTGCAAACTCTTGTCATCGTGGAGATGGTTCTGAAACATGGCTGTGATCTGCTCTGATCCCACCACAGGAGCACACACTCGCATTGCATACTTACACGCCTGGACACATGGAAAAACAAAATGCATATTTGTATGAAACAATGTAGCACTTTTCCCTGCAGGTCTAAGATTGATCCACAATAAGAAAAACTGAAAGTTTGTGCGTGTGATCCCTACTGTACCTTGACCACTTGTGGATTTGGGTCAACCAGGTGTAACAACAGGCTGACCAGAACATTGTGGATCTGGTCTTTGAACACAGGTTCTCCTGAGCCAAACTTGGACAAGTTCCCCATTAGGTGGATGGAAGCACAGCGGATCTCATCATTCTCCTGTATGAGCACAGAGCCCGAAGGTACTGTTAGCGTTATATGTGTCTGTATGTGTGTGTGTGGGGAATAAACACGGCTGAACAGAGCCACAGAACACTAGGTGACCTCAGCTGTGAATAATTGAAGGAAACCAAATACTGTATGCTGCATTAAGGGCCAACACTGAAATAATCGCTGAATAACTCCAGCACTGTTAATATAAAACACACAAATTTAGATCCTTTTAATTATCCTGAGAGTGATCATATGGTTTATACCATCATACAACATCTTGAAAGATATAAAGGAAACTCACGCTCTCCAAGAATGGTTTAATCTTCATGAAGATATAGACCACCAGTAAGTGGACATTCTTCTTGTCCAGAAAGAGGAGGACTTTCGAAAGACCGGACATGGCTTCAAGGGTAATCAGCTTACCTGCAGGAAGAACAGAGAAAACGAGTATTTCTGAATATGTCGTATGATAAACATGATGGATGTGGTAAAGGAAAGTGAACCTGAACCAGTAGACTGTAAGCTTTAGGAATTACTGCAATAAATCAGGAGAGCCAAACTACAGATGTAACTGCAGATCTTACCCGGATCATCTTTCTCCTCCATGCCTGAACTCATGGCTGCCAGCAACTCCTTGGCATATTTATTCACCTGGTGGAACAAAGAGTGAGAGGGAGAAAGAGGAAGAGATGACGAGTGAGTCCAAAAGAGTCTCACAAAGAGGTTAGCCGTCAATTAACTTGTGCTGTTATATGTGTGTGTGAGTGTTGTACCTTTTCAGGGGATCCCACAGCTATATTGCCCAGCCCCCGCACAGACAACATGCGGACAGTGCAACAGGGATCTGATATCCTCTCCATCATGTTGTTCATTAACACATCTATCAACATCAACTCTGTCACCACGTGATGGTTTAGGAGCTGGACAGAGAAACAAAACACGTCAAAATATTAGTCATTTAGATATAATGTCAACAGGTGGGTGCATTTATTGTTTATTTCATTCTCCTGACATGGAAAAACATAATGCAAAAGTTCATGGTGTGGCACCTCAGAGAAGAAAGCAGTGATGGTGATTCTCTGGCACTCGTAGATGTTGTTCAAGGAGGGACACAGACACTCTACAATGGCAGGCAACCTGGGACCAGCATGCTTAGACATTGCTCTATAGACAAGACAAACATACCCAAACTTACACAGGCTTTTATACCAAATGGAATTAGTTTTACTAGTTATGCGAGCAAGAGAAAATAATTGTAAGAGGAAATATGCAGTGCAAAAAGCAAAGCATAAGGAGTGTGTTTGTGTTTCATTTACATTTTAATTCACACATTTAGTTTCTGGTGATCTTTAAACATACAAGTCCCTTATTTCACATGAATGTTATTGAACAGTTTGGCAGAAATGTATTGAACTGCAAGCTACAATTTTACTGGACAGTTTCAGGATTTACCTGGTGTGAATTTCTGATTGGGATCTGAGCCCCCACAGCTACATACCTCGCCAGTAGTGTAACTCCTGTAATGTGTGTATTCTGTTCCTTCATTGCATCCCAGGCATTATCCTCATCCAGTCTTTTCATCACCTCATCTAATTGGGCCCGTGCTAACAAGATTCGCAAGGCATCAGCTGCTACCCTGAGACACAATTACGCCACATTGTTAGTCTGCACAGATACACCTGAAATAAACATTTATAATCTCTGTAGGTACCGCATATTGAATTTACTAGCTATAGAGAGGAAAAGATGCCCACCCTGCTACATGGACAGAGGCAGCGTGTTTAGTGTTGTTGTCCTTCGGCGCGGAGACTCCAACGCTTGCTCCCAGTCTGACAGTGAGGCAGGAGAAGAGACGGGGAAACAGACTGACTGCCGGCTCCTGACTCTGGCCATTTAATAGCAGTTCTTTGAGGCCACATGTCATCTGCAAACAAAGAACACACATGCACACGTTAACACATGAGAATCATTCTCTTCTGCAGTTTCTGACTGGTATGGAGCTGCTGCAGAAACCAACTGAGGAGTGCGGTGCATGACCTCAAACGTAGCTAACTCCTATTTTTTGTGTAACGGCGAGTTAATGTTTTTTAGTCTTTCCCCTCACGTCTGATGAGACAGATATGCTTCTATTTTATCACACACACACACACAACGGCTCGTAGTTCACTAACGATTCACTAATGTAACTGAAGCATTTTTCTTTATATCATACACGTGTAACTAGTGATTGAAAAAAAATGCGAGTGAACTGCTCCCACTACTGTCCCTGAACACATTGTGTGTAGACACATACTATGTACAACTACAGCTGCTGTCTGCTATGTGCTGCTTTCCCTACGCTGTATAGACATTGTGGAACTTAAGAAAAAAAAAACCCTGGTAAAACTACTACGAAAAGTTCAACAACAGGACACAAAACTGAAGATTCGTCAACCTTTACGGACAAAATTATCTGTTTTATGGTATTGTTTTCTTATATCTATTAGTGGGAATTGTGTATGTTTGAAAAAAAAGTAATTGTGTATGAACATCATAATCTTAATAGAACAATTTATTCAGTGACTTACAGCCAGTGGCTGATTGGTGGCCACCTTTGTTGTCCCTCCTCTGATCATTGACTCCTTCTTGTCTACGTAGGGCGCCATGATGGCAAGCTTCTCCATCACCATCTCAATGATCTGACTGGCCACAATGGGGTCTGCTCCCAAGGCCATCCACATCTCACTGGTCCAGCTGGACAGAGAGACAGAGTAACTGCATGTTTAGGCATCTTCAATTGAAAAAACAAAGGTATGTGAGGAATATTTTGTCCTACAAAGAAAAATAAGCAACTGAAAAGCTAAAGAATAAGGGGATCAACATTACTTAATGAAACATTTTCATGTTTGTTGTATATATACCTGTCATAAGGAAGTGGTTGATTTACTAGTGCAGTGACAACAGTCTGTAGATGCTGAGAAGCCAGGATTAGTACCGTCTGTCCCGCTGCCACTCTCACCTAAACACAGGTACAATGAGACAGCTCTGTCAGTGTGACTTAATTATAATTTAGATAAATATTAGGTACTTGTACAAAAAAAAAAAAAGTCTTACACAAATTATTTCAAAATAAGCCACAAAAGGTCTAATCATGTCTGTATTTCTTGGTTATTCAAATTAATATTAAATTATAAAAAAAGAGCTATTGAATAATATAAGTATGGTGTATATTGTTGTAATACTGATTCTTACCTGCTCCTCTGTGATGCTCTGCAGACGCACATGTAGTACCTCCAGCATCTCTGGGACCTAACATACACACCATACAACACAGAAGGAAACAAACAAGCACTGTGTTTAGTAATCAGCTACAACTGGTTTGTGTGTGTGTGTGTGTGCGAGCTACCAGCTCTTGTAGTCCCCCTCCTCTGTTCTTCAGCAGAGTATTTAGAATGACAGATGAAGCTCTGCAGCAGTTTGTCTGACTGTCGACCAGCCCTTCAAACAACATGAACACCAATGTCGACAGCTGCTGCTGAGGCAGACGCTTACTCATCACCTGACACACACAGGAAAAGACGCAGTCACACAGTTTTACTATACAGGTTAGTACTTTGCCTACTAACTTGACACAAACATTAAAAAAGGTAACATTGATTGTGTGACTATATCGTGGTGGACAGAATTCAGCAGGACAAAGGCATAACAGTGGTAGTAACGGTATGTCATTGAGTGTCACACTAAAGGGCACAATAATCTATCTTGGCAAGGAAACAGAAAGTTACATTTTAAGACAAATTTTCAGACAGCCTTGCTGAGCGGTACAAAATGTACCTTGGTGAGGTCGGAGCAGGTCTTATATAGAACTGAGTGGTCAGGGTTTTCTAGTCGGTTTTTCAGGGGCAACAGACTGTCCACAGCTTCATCCTTATAATCCAGGGAGAAACCTACACACAGAGAATAATTGAAAACATAAAATCAAGTCAATACAGCAAGCTTTACAAAAACTAGTCCTTGTATGTCAACATAAAAAAACTGGAGCTAAAAGCTGCATCCAAACATCTAAATAACGCTCGCCTTCCAGTTTAAACATTACACACTGGACCGTTAAGTGAATGCAAATAATATAAAATACAATGACAAAGGTAAAAGGTCAGGGGACTGTACCTTCATAGCGTAGCTGTATATAAAGCAGTGTGTATATACAGTCGACAGCAGCAGTGCGTACAGCAGGGTGAGGATCAGAACATCGTGGAGACAGTCGACCCAGCAGAGCTCCAAGGTTGTGGAAGGACACCATGTTCTAAACAAAGATGCATAGAAAACAGTTATAACATCAAGTGAAGACAAAATACTGAAGAGCACTGATCAGCTAGTGAATTAAAATAGCTTATACAATACAATCAGGACCATTATCAAATCTACCGTGTGTGTGTGTGTACCTTGACAGTCAGGTTATCCAGATAGTAAGCCAGTATATGAGCAGTAGCTGTGGCAGCTCTCTCTCTCTCATGGTCCTGTCCGGAGCTCAACCATGATTCAATGTGCTGCACGGGACAATAATACACATCATGTAAGACAGCGCTGCAGTATAATTCAGCAGGGAAAGCTACTTCCTGATGTATGCTGCAGTTCACTAAGGCCAATTATTCTTTTTAATTAGACGGCTGCACAACAAGTCGAGGAGATAAAGGGGGGAAACACACAAGGGGAAGTGGTGAGATTCAATCATAGCTAACAGGACCAAAGACTTGATTAATTGCCTTTTTGGTTATATGATCCTAACTTTATTAGTCCTGGGTTGGTGTAAAATGTTTGAAAGTAAGTTTTTTTTTTTTTAAACCATAGAGTGAAAGATGCTAAAGAAAGTTATCATTTGAAGTGGAGATTCTTAAAGTATATTGCAGTGACATTAATATTTCTGGTACTCAATACTATGTTGTAATGAGAAGATCTGGTTAGTCTATAACACCATGCTTCACCTTAAAGACACTCTGCAGGCCATCAGGTGTGGGATCCCTTGCCAGCACACTTCTTAGCAGCTCCTGCAGTGCAGCCAACGTGTCTTTGTACAGTGCCTGTACAGATTTACCAGCACGTTAGTTTGAAAACAGCATTTGAAAAACGTTGCACAAAATGTTTCAAAGGTCTGTGCGTCTCTCTGCACAAGAAGGAATGTTATAGTGGGTTAAAATGGGTTATTGAAGGATACGGTTTGGTATCTAGTTGTGTAAATGTGTACACGTCTCTGTCACCTTTCTCTGCTTGGGGTCCAGTATCTCCTCTTCTTTTGTTTTCTCTGGAGTGTGTGTCTCAGGTGGCAGAGAGAAGACACCGTTCACACACACCTTTAGCAAGTCAAAGCCCTCATTCTCACTCAGCGCTGGGTCCAGAGGCCTGATGCACCACAGGTCAAAGATAAAACACTGGCTAATAACCATAATCATTGTTTTTAATCATATTTGTAGTCTGCAGTGTTTTTTTAAGTTTTGATGCAAACTTTACTCATTAATAAACTAATCATGACCTCAAGGCCATACTAATGTCAGTATGTGTACATATTGAGAAAGAATATTATTTTATAGAATATCATTATTTTGTCAATCAATAAATCCATTTGGGTTCAATTGTGTTTTTACAGATGAAGGATACATTAGGTTGGCACAGGTGGTCATCACAAGAGGGCGTACTGGAGTCCTCAATGAATCAGCTGGCTCTGCCTTGATAAAATCCTGACCAGGGTAAACATAACAGCAGGAAGAGATCAGAAAATCCTTGTTGTTGTATCAGCAATTAAACATTAATGACTTGTTTTAACAAACCATAAATGACCGACTACTGACCAGCATAACATTAATGAGTTCCTGTTTGCGAGAGAAGACGTAGCCTTGTTTCTTCACACACTCAGTAATGGCTTTGGCTATGAGCCCAACACTCTGGATCAAACTGAGCTTCATAGTCAGGTCCTGAAACGGTGATAGATGCATGTTGACAAATACAGAGAGACAGAATAAATAAGAGGATGTACACAGATCAGAAGATTCAGGACAAGAGGAAAAGTAGGCTAAAGATGAAGAAAATTGGATAATTGCATTTTCCAAATTGTAAGGAATGCAACAAGCCCAACCTCAGCCCCCTTCAGCAGACTCTACGAGTGAGTGAGCATAAGCAAAAAACTCATTCCAGGAAATATAAAAATCAAACAATTAATTAATCACTCAGTTCATCAATCAATCCAATAGTGTAGATTGATCATCCATGCCTATGGATGGAGAGAAGTTTGAAATCAGAGTTGTGTGATTAGAGGAGATTGGTTCAACAGCAAACCACCTGCAGGCTCTGGTTTAAGAAGTGAGAAGAGCTCAGAGCCAAGAGACACGAAGAGCTGTTAAGATTTAGCAGGAAGTTAAAAAAAAGCCCTTTAACACTAAGCATGAGTCATTGGTGAGCATTTCAAGAACAATCCACCATTAAGCAATGAAAGAAAAAAAGGATGACACAACGTAGCGTGTAGATCATAGGGAGATGGATCTGAAAGTGAAGGTATTATTTTATGGCATATACTAACTTCACTTGAACTTAAGCATAAAAAGCTCAATGTAAATGTGGCTTGTGGCAGTGTGCAGTATTTTTGCCAAACTATTTGCATCAGACAAAATTGCATTCTGTACATTTAAACAGGATCATTGTAAACCAGCTTTATAGAAGAGCCAAATAAGGTAACCATAAAAATGCCTGCCAGCATCGGGTGATAAAGCTACTCAAAGGACAATTAGATTTGCATTGTATTTGAGTTCAGTAATAGCCAGAGCAAAACACTGAGGCTTTTATTTATTATCCCCAACTTTGGATGCAGGGTTGGAAACACTATCTAGTAACCAGATCCTAGTTTTATGTTAGAGTGCGTTGAGAGTGATAATCCACCCCTGATCTAGCTCACAGTATCAAACACTCACTGCCTGCAGGTAATACAAGTGACTGTGAAAAGTTTCTAGTTGATGGTGTGATATAAGACATTTTGATGAAAATTATTCTCAACTAGAATCCATTGTAAACAGACAACTTTCAGGCCCACATGAGTGAATGTCTGATACTCAAATTATTTTGGCAGTGTATCACTTAAAGCTACATTTCACTGAGGTAGAGTATTTTCACTTATTACAATGAGCACAGCTACAGTCAACTTCAAACATTAGTGGTCGTCATTAGTGTGTTTTCTACTCAGTATTGTTCCAACTGATCCATTTCTGCCCAACAGAGCTTAAAGCACTAAATCTGGTGCTCTACCATAGTGAAATATAACTGGGATACAGCAAAGTAAAGCTTAAAGATAAAGTAGTTGTTTTATTGTATCAAGCTGTGTGTTCTTGATTTCAGTAGAGACTTTAGTGACGATAATCACCACAAGTGTTCAGTGCAGAGGTAAAGATACAAAGAAGAGTAAGGTAAGATGAAAAGGCCCTGATATTCCTGTGACGATACCTTTGTCTCTACTTTAATCCCCAGAACCTGTATGAAATAAAAGTGATAAAGTCGTCAGTGCACATATAAATAAAGCTTTCTTACCTGCAAGATTAGGTTCATGGGACCCTATTTTAATCGGGCAACAACAAACACAACGCTGTGGGTTTTACATGCACAGGTTGCGTGGTCATCTCCAAGCAGACCTGCTATATTTGGATCAAGGTGAATATAGATCAGAGGGTGTGGGGATTAATAAATAAACTCACAGCCAATCTAGACTAGTAATACGATGTCTCTTGCATACACAGCAGAATACCAAGTTATAACCGACCAGTCTGATATGTGTAGAGGTTTGTGTGGTTACTTTATTGTTTTTATTTGGTTTAAATATTAATATATTTATATATTTACAGAGAGAAAGAGAAAGGGGGGATGTCATGCAGCACAGGGCCGCAGGTTGGAATCAATCCGGGCCGCTGTGGTAAGGACTGCAAAGGTGAGTTGCCGTGTGCCCTGTGTGTTATTTTGTATCAGCCTGGTGTGATTTAAACGTGATTTAATGAAGGTAAAGTGGACAGTGGACCGCCGTGTGTAATGACACTGCACTCTTGAGTGGCACATCTGAAATCAGAGGCTGCAGATTTATCAACATATTATGAAATGCTAGTTCATGATGCCGATTGAAACGCATCTACTGGTTTAATTACAATGGTTTCTTTACTTTTTTCATTATTTCGTTACTGGGGCAGATTTGCTCCAAGTACTTTGTTTACTCTTGTTGATAAAATCCTTTCAGTGGCAGACTCTCATTCTCAATAAGACCTTATTTCAACCAAAATACCATCATTTTGTTTTCGCCCCCTCATTTGATGTTTAATATGCTGCTGACTCACATATTACAAAGGGTGTAATACAATATGTTTACTCCCAATCCCTGTCCCACACATAAAGTAAATGGGTCAGCGCTGGCTTAAGTTTAGAGTTGTGTTAAATGAACAAGCTGACGGATATCAGAGGGTCCATTTCTCTGAAAAATTCACTTGAAGTTAAAAATCTAAACTGACATTAGTTAATTAAAATAGTAACCATAGATGACCACTGAGTATGCTGTCATCGTACATAATTCAATACAATGGATTTAGCTGGAATACAGTTAACTACTGTAATTCTAGCTGGTATACTTTTACATGACAGACTGTACATCATATTTAACATAGCTTTTATTACATATTGCAATCCTTGTTTCTCCGTACCATCAGCGCTCTCTGTACACAAGTTAATTGTCTTTAATAACAAAGTCAAGTTACCTTAGTATTTACATTACCTTGGTATTGAAGTGTTTACTGATGCAGCGAAGGATGTCTTGATCAATGCGGTTCAGTATCTTTTCTGGAGGTGCGTTCAGAGCCACTTGACCATAACACAAGATTAATGTGCTTTTCACCTTCTCTACCTCAACGTCATTACGCTCCTGAGGAAAGTAAAGCAGAGCAGAGATGAAGGCGCCACATGAAACTCTTTCACATTAATAGTACTGCAACCTAATTGAAGGATATCATAAAAGTTCCTTGTACTTTGAGAAGGTTGAAGATGCTCGGTGACTTCTTGAAGGCATCAGACTTGCCAAACTCGTCCAGCTTGGCCAGAGTTCCCTCTAAGTGGCTGTTGGCACACAATCCGATGCCCATTGCAACTCCCTGATAAATACAGATGACACAAAGTTAGACCTTAAACCTGTTCAGGTGTGGAAGACACAATACCAATCATTGAAAGATGTTTTCTGATTCTTGCAAAACCAAAACACCAAAGAAATCATCATATGACGTCTGTGTTTCAAGTACCTCTCTTTCGATTGCGTCATTGTGTCGTGCTGTGAGGAGGATTTCCTGCAGCTGTTTTTTAACCAGCTCCTTATTAAAACACTGTTGGAGGGTCACCCCTATACATCGATACAGGAAACTCTGGAGAAAGAGAAAAATGTTAAATATTTTTCACATACTGTACAAACCTCATCAATGGTTCTCATCCAATTAGACAGCTTCACAGTCTCTACCCTTTACCGGGGTTGGGTTTAACTTTTCACCTCTGTGTAAAAACTGTGTAATGAAGAGAAGGCATGGCTCCATTTAAAAAGGTCACAATCCCCCAAAGAATGAGAACCACTGTTCAACACAGTCATCTTTTTGAGTTTAATAACATGATGCTCTAAATTAGGCTTGCTGTGGGGGGGCTTAGCAATTTGGCAAACCACAAACCTATGTCCATTCATTTAATGTCACTGGACAAACATCAGTAACTATACCAAAGCAGTAGTTTGCAAACAGCTCGCTCTTGATTTATGGGTGAAAGGGCTGTTTAAAGCACTTACCTTCTCCTCTAAGGCGTTGTTATATGTGGAGAGGTACCTCGTTGACTCAGCTGCCAACTGACACACCCACTTGTCATCATCGATAGTAGCCAGGATTTTAGACAAGAGCTGAAGACAATTATCAATTAATTTGGGGGAAAAAAATAAAATTTCTATCTATCATCACATTTTGGTTTTATTTCAATTTAAAACACACATAATGTAAATTAGATAATATGTCCATATACAGCAGACAAGCACACCTTCAGCAACTTTTCATCCCAGTGCTTCTTATCCAGGCTCTCTGCAGTTGATTCTGGAAACAAAAACATAGTCAGACCACTCTGCTATGGAGGAGAAAACTACTGTAATGAGGAATAAAAAGATATAAAAAGGTCCCAGACATAAGTGTCCACTCTGTTGTCACTACAGGAAAACAAAGCTTCCTCCAGAGCTATTTTATATAAATAGCATACAAAACATAATGTCCACATATTTCCATACCCTCTAGCACTGACAACAGAGGAGGTATCTCTTTCTCCCAGAGTATCTCTGTATTGGGGTGAACGTTGATACTGAGGGTCTGAAGGAGCAAGAGGGACGGCGCTCCATGATCTCTGCTATTGAACGGGAACGCTGCATTCACCTGGGACACAACAGACAAACAGATACCAGTCAGGAATGTTACACACTACCTTTTACCTATTTAAGCAATATAGCAGTACAGCTCCTTTCATCCCTAGTCCAGGCTGAACATACAGTCAGAACAGCTCTAAATATTAATATAATAATAATAGTCACAGATTGTGACTGAAACATTTAAGGGAAAATCAGACTTGACAACTGATAAGGATTATTTAGCATGATAAATAATTTATCTAAACCAAGGGCTGCAATTCATTCATTATATTTAATTACAATCTGTTACTCCAGACAGTCACACTGGATGTTTAGCAATCTACTTGGCTCGATATGAAGTCACCAGATTTGGATTTACTTACCAGCAGTCGGACCATTAGTGTTTGAGGAGAAGGCAGATTGACTGGAAGAGAGAAATATGACACATTTAGCTTGGAATGGATCACACAGAAAAACAGGAAATGGTGACTTTCAAACTGCAAACTTCAATGCTTATGAACTGATTTGTGATACTATCATTTCCATAATCCACACTTCCTACATGTGACTTATATCTCAGTTACTATACTTACTGACTATACTATACTATACTATACTATACTATACTATACTATACTATACTATAGTCAGTAAATATTCCTCCTACCTTCCTGTGTAAAGTCTATGTTGAAGCTGGGATCCTGGTTATTTTTCTTCTTGTTGCCCAGCTCTATCAAACTCTTACACAGAGGAGTGGTGGCATTGCTGAACTGTGGAGGGGTCAGAAAGTACAGCAGCTTTGGCCACAGAACCTACAGACAAGAAAATACATATGTTATGTTTCTGAACAATTTCCATCTGTCTAACACACAATAGAAGAAGACAACAACAACAACAACAACAAATTCATTACAAAGCTCAAGCTTCAAAAACATGCAGTGAAACAAACATCTGCAACAACATCATCAGTTCTTGGACTTGGGGAGATGAAGCAGTCACCAACAGATCAGACAGACGGGTAAACAAGCAGATGGATCACGTACATCAGCTAGTCGTCCAACAGTGGTGGTCAGGAGATGAAGGGTGTTGTCACACATCGTCCTCAGTGACTCATTGGTCACCTCCTCTGGATCTGTGGGTCTTTGGCCTCGCTATAGACACACAGATACAATCACACATGGATAAATGTTGTTTATTCCAACGCAATGGAATATAGGAATATAGACACAGTACATGTATGCGTTTGTTTGCTTAATTGTTTTCTTCAACTTTTTGTCGTTTATTAGCTTTGTAAAAACTACTACAGGAGCCACATATACAAGATTTTAAATAAATATAATAAAACTGTTGATACCTGATATGTGTCATGTAAGGCACAGTGTTGAACGATGAATCGAACCAGTAACTCCCCTCCTTCTAACTCCAGGTAGCCATGATGAGCCATCGCACTGATCACCTGGATCACGTGCTTCTTGACCTGGGACACAGAGAGAGTGAGAGACATAAATAAAAATACTAAAACTAAACCTATTTATGTCACATAGAAACAGGGTGTGTCTACATGTGTGTTACCTTGTTGCTGTGGTCGGCCATTGGCTGTCTGATGCTGGCTAGAATCAGCAGCTTCTTGCCCTCCATTGTGGAAGCTGCAACGCACACACAAACACAGACACATTCCCTTATGCTAAATCAATGTGGAGTAACAAATAAGTGTGTATGGGATGAGCTGGGGATGCACATGTATTATCTTACTTGAAGAGTTGATGAGGTGACGAAGCACAGCCAGGGAGCCAACCCTGCTTCGCTCATTACTGTTCTCCAACTTTTGAAGAACAAATATACCCAGCCGGTCTGGGAAGGAGTTAGCTATACAGAGAGGTGTGGAAGTACAAAGAAGGAAAGGAATGCATAATTTGTCACAGAAATACAAAAACAAGTGCAAAACACAGGAAAGACCAGAGAGAAGGAGGCGAAGTAGACCAGCAGTCACAGCTAATATGATTATCTTGTGGTGGACACTGAGCCTCACACTAATGGATGATCTCATTACTGTTCTTGTGACTCCATAGAAGTAAAACAGATAGAAAGGCCTGATGCTGTTGGACAACATTCGTCAACTTTCTTATATAACTGTTTTAAAAATGAGCATAAATCAAAGGTTGGGTAAGCGATTCTAGGTAATGGGACTCTAATCTAATACCATGAATATCTCCTCACAGTCTTTCCGCTCCGTGTGTGCTCTGGTTCTGTAAAGGGGAAACAAAGTGGATCGGACCGAGCCCCCTGCACTAACTTGTTAGTCAAGCCATTCCAGCTACGATTTTTGTTGTTGTGAAGTTAGCTGTCGTAGCAGGAGAGTGGTCAGTATCGCTGTCCGGAGCTGGTGTGCTAGCCAAATTGTCTTGTCCTCTCTGCATGTTAGCTGCGCAACGGCAACTTCTGCATCAGTTTGCTCACCCGGAACATAGCTAACGTTAGTTGTCCTATATTTTGAAATAGCTTACCTAGTAAGCTGAAGCAGCGGAGGACCTCATTGTGGTTCTTGACAGTAGGAGGGTTACTGTAATCAACAGGGGCAGACACCTGGAGGGCACAAAGTAAATGTTACACCGTTTTGTGTTACAGCTTTGAACAACGATATATGCCATGATGTGAGAGCAATGTCGGACATTTTGGTTACATGGGAAAATCATTACAATTATAGATACGTTTATTCAAATGCAACAAAAATCTCTTACTGTAATCATGATTTCTATGCATGTAGTTGTAATAATAACAATGAGGAAAATAATGTTAAATTAAAAAAAGTTTGCAGTGATTTTCATTCTTCTGTCCAAGGGAGTGGCTGGCTCTTTTTATAGCTACAGGTCACACATGAGAAGTTACCACAGGTGTTCACACTGTAGTGACCCAAATTAGATTGTTTTTGCTCGTATATGACTCAGATCACATCTGAACAGCACAATCTGAATCTGATCTTTTCAGTGCAACCTCTGTGTGAACAGTCATGTCAGAATTCATGTGACTTTTATGTCACTCTAGATCTATGTTGTCATGTGGCTCGCTTCAGGACCATGAACTATTTAGACTGGAATCTTATTTGAGCCACATTTAACAAATAATGTGAACAGCCAAAGAAAAATCTGAATTGAGGCTTGTTGTGTGAACGTAGCAACAGACTCCTACTTTGGGAAAGTTTTTATAATGGAAATAGGAACTGAGAACTGAGAAGGACCACGTTCCAAAGCCACCTTTTTATATTCTGAAAACAACATTTGTTCTTGTTTTCAAGCTGAACTTATATCAACTTCAGTTACACACATACATGTACAGTTTGGCATTTACAAACACAGTTATAAGACTTAAGAGAATAATAACTGTCACTGTTTTACTGCGGCTGTAACATTCTGGTTAAAATACTCTCGGCCCCCACCAGTCAATCCCAATCATACACACACATCATTGACAGAGTCATTGTGGTAAAATGTTGCAATAGTCAATCAGCTGAGTCACAAGGTTATGAAAACATCTGACTCTCCAACAGGCGTTTGACACATCTTAAAGAACACAGAATAAGGCGAATATAAGACGCAAACAAAGTAATTCAATCTGCCCACAAGTTTTCACAGATTTGTAGTTTCAATTTGGTGAACCGCTCTGTCAATGAACAGGAAGACACATGGAGACACATGAACTGGATTACAGTCGGCATGACATCAATCTAGTCTTGTGACAGAAAGTGGTACACTACTGAGAGAGCTGACAGATCCACGTACAGCCAATATAATGTGGTAGCATTGTTTGTTACTGGGCACTGCTACTGCTGTTTAAAGTTCTATTTAAAGTTTATTGCCTTTAATCGATAATGAAAGCTGAAGAGTGACGGGAAAGGGGGGAGAAAAAGAGAGGGGATGACATGCAAAAGGGCCACAGGTCGGAGTCGAACCTGTGGCTGCTGCAGTGAGGACTCAGCCTTGGTACATGAGGTGCCAGGTCTACCAGGGGAGCTATCAGGGCGTCGCTTTTCTGATAACATTATTTATTGTACCAATGTGTATATGGTTCGACTTGTTTAACCTTCCAACAGAGCGAATCATCATCTTTTGCAACTTAATACATCAACTCCCATTATTCAACGCTACTTAATGACGTCATCAAACTACATCTTTTTCTGTTTCGATGTGAAAGACACTCCTAGCTGAAAAAATGACATATTATACGTTTAACTCTTTTTTTAATATGTCAGACAATGAGGTCATCAACCGTAAACATTTTCCCTCTTATTTGCCATTTTATCAACCTAACCTAACCTAAATTCAAAAGTTGTGTAAACATCTGGTCAACAATACCTGGCAAAGTCTCTATGAGCACATTTTCAGCCTAGTTCCACCTTTTTATGAGCTCAGTCATGCATAGGTCACCTGGTTCACTCAAGCTTAAAGCTGCAGTATTTGAATTAGTATGTACTTAATGTGTACCTGTTGATGCAGAGCAAAGAGCAAACTGTCCAGTTGCGTCTCCAGCACCCTGCTGCCCATGTTGACAGAAGCATCAATCACTTGGCACAGACTCTGAGTGGAGGCAGAAGAAAGGAAGAAAGTACTCACCCTGTGAAAAAGTTCACTTAATTGTGTAATGTCACAGTTACTGGGGCCATGTTACACACACTGTTATAGGAAACCGGTTTTAGACGACGAGCACACTTTTATATATTTATATTTATATTTTGTTAACACAAATTATCCACGTTACACAATTCATAATAAACAGTCCACTGTGCTCATGCTGCAGCCCATACCCACCTTGCTAATGATATAGTGCTCGTTGTTTTTCTTGTACAGGGACAAGATGGCAGGAATGAGTTTAGGAATCTGCTCCTCCAGTTTATCACTGGCCATCAGGTGGCACATAGAGCCCACTGCCTCAGCTACTGTCAGCCTCAACTGGAACACACAGAGACAGAAAGACAGGATGTCAAGTGACCCAGATTCACTAACTTGTAACATAAACTACTGCAGGTGTGTGTAGACAGAAAGAAACAAAAAGGGCAAGTCTCTTACACCACTGAAAAGATACCACAACTTGCACTTTGTGACCATTTCATCACAGTTCTATACTTCATTTTTCAGGTGGAAAAATGTACAATACAACTAAAAAAGAAAAGTGATTAAAGAAAATATTCTGTCACTGTAAGAATTGTGGATGTTGTTTAAAATTAACCATAATTAGTACTAATAGGTTCCCTGCTTTCTGTAATGCAGCACGAAGACATGCTGGTTAAATTGTTAGACTCAGTCAACTGGGCCATGTACAGATTCATTACAAACACAATTAGTAACTTGTATTAACATGATCGAAACTATGGCCAGGATGCTAGTGGTTACCATGTTGTTTCAGTCAGATGGGAACAGAAAATGACACATTGACCATCATAATTCTGGATAAGAGAAAAGCACATTTTGAGGAAATTCCAATGTTATCGAATGACTTTTAGGAGAACCAACTGTACCAAAACTACTGCTTTTATAATCTCCCTATGCCTACAATATGATGACCTGTCAGGTATTTTTTTTTTTGGTGCAAGGAGGGATTTTCTGGTAGTTTTAATGCCTGTACGGCTAAATCTTTTTTTTTTCTTTTTTTTTTTTTAAGACTGCAGTGCTTTATGCCTTTTGGACTGCCACAACCATCTTTGTATCTCATCTCTAACTCAAAATGTCAAGCTTTAGATGGCTTTACCTCAGATTCCCTACTTACTCAACTTCTTTCAATACTGCCCTAATACCAAATGCCAACCTCTTTGTAGGTGGTATAGTCCACTGTATATCAAACCATCTTGCTCATCCCCCAACATTGACCAATAGTGACCTTACCTTAGACTCCCTGCTTTGTAACCAGTTATTGAAGAGGATGTCGAAAGCAGCATAGATTTCACTCGAGAATGTGTCTTTTCTGACTGTGGGATCTGGAGCCTTGTCCAGGTTGGCAAGATACTCCAGGATACTGTCGCTGAAATGACACAGAGCTGGAGGGAAAGAAAACTTTAATGTTTTTGGAGGAATACCTGAATACTTGGAGGTAGTGTTTCAACTTTTGGAGAGTGATTAATATACTTCAACAATTATGACAATTTAAAAAAGCATGTTAGGGAGGTTCTTACCAGAAGAGAAGACCCATTTCATGTTGTCCTGTTTGGCCATGCTCAACATGGGCAACATGGTGCCCAGAATAGCATTCAGGAAGGGTACCATGCCATAAACTAGAGAACAAGGAAAGTACAGCATTAATGGCACATTATTACTTACTACTTCCTCTGTAAGGCAGGGACACATACATTGTATTTACTTTGCAGTAAGGGAGAATGTAAAAAAAGAGGAGAAAAGGAGGACAAATTTAGTCCCCAGTGAAATCTATCTTTGCATACTGCAAATCAATAAATCAATATATAAGCAAACAACATGTTAAAAATCCAAATTATTTTCAACATGTCTCTGTACTGGTCAATGATTTACACCTACAAAAACTGACTCTAGTTTGTGCTTCCTCTAAAATGTATATGCTGGTAACACACAATGAACAGGGAGCTGCAAGGGATTCTTAAACCCTGATCCAGATTAGATCATTTATTATTATTTAGTCCTTTAGTATCTGCTCATTCAATTCAATATCTATATTTTGATACATCATAAAGATGCAAATGCATATGATGTATGTATGAAGTATGAAGTAGACCTGCATTAATGTGTGTTTGAGAACTTATTAGCTCCACTGTCAGTCTGTAACCCCACTTTATTCACAGCATGAAAAAAAGACTCAAGTTTAAATTTAGGTTTAATTACATCTGCAACACTTTAAAACCTACATTGTCTGTTCTTGCTTCACTGTCAGTGTGGATATGATTCATTGAAACTGCTCAGTGATATTTATTTGTTCTTGTCATTATCTGCAGTTCATGCCACCATAATGCTCATTTAATCCAAAAACTGCTTTAGTAAGAGGGGGGAGTGTTTTAAATTAGTGCCCAAGGGGCAACTTTGGGAGCAGGGCAGAGGATTGGAAATAAATCAGGCTTCACATACCCGACACTAATAGATTGCCTTACTGTAGCTGGTGTGAGTGCATAGCTCCGTGCAAGAGCTTTCAATGTAAAAAATGTAAACTCCCCAAACCATAAGAGACAGCTCTTAAACAAACCTGTTCTGGTGGTGTGCAAAATCTTTGGCCTGCAAATGCAGTTTATGGGCAGGTTTAACAAGTTCATGTCTTTCTCAACAACCTCTGAATACCTGCTTTGTGAGCAGAAGTTCTGATTTCCTGGTGTGTGTGTGTGTGTGTGTGTGTGTGTAAATATTTTCTTACCATTGGAGTCAGAAAGGTTGGCTAGTGTCTGTACCACAAAGAAGTGAGGTAGGAGCCCTGGCTGAAACTTGCTTAGTATCTCCTCCATGATGTCATTGATGTGCTTGTTACCCACAGCAACCAAGATATTACTGGCTGCCTGCTGCCAGTCAGGGATGACCTCCTACATTAACCAGGAAGACAGAGAAAACAGTAAGGTACATCATTTAATCATCTTCCCTCTGCAAGACATTAAAAAACTGAATAATTCACGTCTCATCTTTTACTTTTGATCGTGTCATCTCGTCTGAGGCAAGGGAGATGATACTCTTTATCCTCGGGTAACTGATCTGCTCTATCCTGCAGCCCACAATCAGCTCAATAGTCTGAAGAATCACAACTCTGTGGGTCACCACCAACTAGAGGGGAGGAAGACAATAAGAGACAAAAAGAGAAAGAGGACATGAACAACATTAAAGAACACATTTAAAATAATAAAAAATATAATATGCATATGCACAGGTAAATGGCATGGTATTTATTTATTTGCATAAAACAGCAGCAAATTCAGAGTCTTTCACAACGGAAAAGAAAAAAATGACACAGCACATTCAACACAATATAAATAACACTGTCACTGATGTTTCTTCTGACATTTCCTCTGTGTGATGATACTATCATCTGACAGTCACAAAGTCAAGGGCTGTGGCATAATAAGATGTTGCAAGACAAGAGTTGAGTCAGAGCTCTGTGGTGAAATTTAAAGTGTTACAAGTAACTGAATTTAAGGGATATTTTCCCTTTAAAAATCAAGCTACATTAGTGGTTAGTGAGTTTCAGTTTTGTAGGTAGACTGATTCTATTTTAAAGACCCATACAGGTTTAAATAGGGTTGGGCTTTATGTGTTAGTAAATATCTCAATAGAATAAAATAAAAACATTTTAAATCAGAAAAATGTTTACAGATTAAAAAAAAAAAAAGTCTGTTGTTGCTCTCTTTCTTATTTAACTGTAACGTTCATATTTGAGATTGTTGGTCAAACAAAACAAACAATATGAGGATGCCATCTTTCTTGGATTTTAGGAAATTGTTTTTTTCACTATGTTTTTCCCTTACATTTTATAGGCAATTTCACAATTTTAAAAAATAATCACCAGATTGATCAATAATGATTTATGCTGCTGGCTGCCATCTGTGATATCAGAAAACCTCAGACCGAAAGTCAGACTCTCTCTCTGACAGAAATACATTAGGCATTGCAATGTTTACATCTTGTACATGTGTGAAACCTCAAGAGGGAACGTCTGGCCTTGCTGTCTGTATCAGGCTGTGCAACCACATGCTAGGGGCTCTGAGAGGCCTTTAAAGTGTGACACAGATTAGCAGCAGACTATTGTTAGAAGGGGTTACTGGAGTCAACACAAATCTCTAATAAAACTACAGACATTTCCATCATACAAGTACGACTTTTAGTGCTTGCTGCAATCCAGCTTAATGTTTAACAGTTTAAAAGGACAGTATTTCCTCCTTTTCCCTTCAGAAATCACAGGAATGGAGGACGTCCCCTACAGCTTCCACTTCACCCAAGTTTGTTTTCTCAGCTGAGAGCTGTTTGACGAAGAGGTGTATTCTTTACCTTTGGGTGTTTCAGAAGGTAGTCCTGACACATGGCTAACACTCTGTCAGGCTGCTGTTTTCCCAGGGTCAACATAGACTTTCTGACCTGTTCCTGGACCTCTGCGTCTTTATCGGTGGCTGCATCTAGTAGAGCCAGGGTCACCTCTGGAGGGAAAACACAACAGAACAGAGACGGAGTAGGAGAATTAAAATGTAGAAAGAAGAGAGACATGTAAACACAAATGGCCAGACAAAAATATGCATGGCTTAGCGTTCAGAGCTGTGTCAAACAGAGCAAATGAATGAATGGAGCTGAATAGAGGCAGACACATAAGCAAACTGAGGAGAGACTCACGTTCCACATCTGTCTCGTCCATGGTGGACAGAAACACAGGGCTGCTTCCTAGAGCCTGTGGCTGGGGATGTAGCTTCCCTCCTGGGGCACAGATGGGCCGAGGCTGCCTGGAGCTATGGGACGGAATATAGAAATGTGGATATCAATAAACCTTGGCAGTAAGTCAAGGTTTGCCATGCTCTCGGTGCTCAACCAACCTGTTCAAACCATTTATAAGCTACTAACACTATTATGTGTCTATGAACTCTACCACCAACTAACACGAAAAGTAGCTAACAACTATAATAACCTTTAAGATTACGAAGCTGTATAAAGATGACACTAAAATCATTTAATTGAATACAATATCTAAGTTGAACCTGCTCGGGTGGTGATGCTGCAGCAGCAGCAAGCTAACGACTGACACAGGTTAGCATGCTAGCCTAGCAGCCGCTGCTACGGAAGAGCCGACTGCGTCCTCACATCACAGACTGGAAGAAGAAAACACAGCCAGCCCTGACAATAGAGCTAACTTAACTTACCAAGTCCCAGTGAGAGTCCGCTCAACAAGAACCTCTCCGGACAATGTCGCTTCGTCTGTCGGGTTTGAACAACGGGCGTCCCTGTCAGTGATACAGTCGCTGTTAGCTGTCACTGCAGGTGTAAACACGCCTGGTCATGTGCTTGTAGTCAGCAGGAACATATCAGCCAGGGGCGGAGCGCAGGGGCG